CCCACGAATCAATCAATCAATCAATCAATCAATCAATCAATCAATCAATCAACGAAAAAAAAGAAATCGACGAAACTAATCAATCAATCAATCAATCAATCAATCAAAGGCGGGGCGGGGCGACCCCACCCCAACCAATCAATCAATCAATCAACCAATCATCGGAAAAAAAAAAAAAAAACACGTTTTTTTTTTCTTCTCAATTTCGTTCCATTTTGCCTATACACCCCCAACCAAAAGTTGATCTTTTTCGTTTTTTTTTTGTGGGGGGCGGTGGGGCCGGGGATGCGCCGGCACGTGGCGTCTCCCGAATTTCGAAAGTCGCTCCCCTGTGGCCGCCATGTGGCTTCAAAGCCGCGCGTCCGCGGGCCCGCGGCCTAGTTTGCGTCCGCAGACTTGGCCGCGGTTGTCCGCCGCCGAGGGGGATTCATAGGTGGGCAGGCAGCGGTGTTCTATCTGCCATTGAAGGGAGGCCATCTTCGCAGGCCTAGACCTTGTGGCGGTGAACCATCGGATTGAGCGGATTGCCTCAGTCCCCACGTTCAAGTGGGACCTCCATCGGGCTTTCACTATGTCTTTTATGTTCACCTTTGGTCATAGCAGACGATATGTGGCCTTCACCGTTAGAGTGTGTAAATTCAGATTCGTTCCCGACCTGGGTTTTCGACTGGGGATCCACTGCCATTCGTCCGGGTCAAAGGGTAGCTCCATCACGGGGGTATTTGGCTGATATGCAGTCCAATTACCTTTATCCCGCAGCACACGAATCCTGTGCAAATCTGCAGTTCTCCACCATCTCATTGCTTCTGGGTAAGCTTGTTTTCCTTGCCTATGTGGAAGAGGTTTACCAATGTTTTGTTTGTTCGCACCTCCACCACATTGCCTACGCTTTCTGAATCCTCCGGGGCAGCTACCCAGTCTCCTTCCATTAGTCGGGGTCCTTTCCGTAGAATGCGCACCCAGTCAAGCGGGACAACAGCGATCAACAACTCAATATTCTCCTCAATCTTGTGGCAATGTTTGAGTGTGGTTCTCAGTTGTGGCCCGGTTTTCCAGTCCCCCACCTCTGTATTCCATATGTCCTTTATCCTGATTATGCCTTTTTAAACCCAGTTGCTCCACGGGGTGTCTGAGCTACGATACACTTTGCTGTGTCGGTCCGTTATCCTTCTGTTTCCAAAAAGGGGCTGACGCATCACCCCCTCCCATCTAGTTGGCGGGGGTTGGTCAGGTAACGGGAGCTGGCGTCAGACCCTCAGGACCCGGGTCCAAAAGTCGTCTTTGACCAGGTCCGAGTGAGCTGTGTCTCGGGGTGAGTCTCGCTCTACACGGGGGCACCGTGGCACAGTCCAAAAGTGGTCTTCCAGCCAGGTCAATGGGCTAACTCCTTGTTGTGTTTGTGGGGCAAGTCTGGCTATCTGTTCTAGAGGCAGGGTAGACCATGGGAGGTGCTGAGTGAAAAGAAATATCCTAACTCATCGGACAGTTAATGCTGTGATCTGGGTATCCGGGTCCAGGATCCCTAGGCCCCCTTTGTCCTTGGGTTGGATCACCGATAGCCAGGCTGCCCTGCTGATGATGTTCGGGAGCTCACCATTACCTCTCCACAACAGGGCCGTTAATTGTCTTTTTAACGATCGGATGACATCCCTGCTGAGAGTCCAAATTGCAGATTTATACCTCAAGACTGCCAGCACTACGTTGTTGATTGCGAGCGCTCTACTGATGAGGGAAGTGTGTAATTAACTTATTAAGTACATACATAAACTACTGATTAAAACCATATTGGCATGCTCCACTAGAAACAAAAGAGCAAAACCCATGGAAAACTATTCTATGCTATAGCCTGCAAGTAACTCAGCCTCCAGTTCTGGTAAATCAAAAGGAGCACGTTTCCTTTCCATAGCCTAGTAGGGCTTCTTAAAAACAAAATGAAAAACTTCAAAAAGTGGGAAGATGTGGGGGGGGGTGAGGGTGTCGATCAAGTGGAGATGAGAGATTCCAACACACCTTCATTCGGGCCAGTTCCTCCGGGGTGAGAATAACCGTGTTCTTGTCTCCTACAATGCTTGCCGTGTGATCCTTGCGATCCTTTGCATGTGCCATCTGCAAAAAGAAAAGAAAGGGGCGATCAGAGCAACCAGTTGGTCTAATCATTAGTTCAATACAAGATGGACCAGCGCAACTCTGCCTGCGTGAATCAGGGATTTTTATTTGACCACGAACGTGAGGGCAAAGCCAAAAAAAAGGGATTCGGTGCAATTGAGGAGGTCTTTACATGACAGAAGTCGATAATGAAGATGTTTGTGGACAGAGAACCAAGCATCGGAACAACAAATTCAAATAAAAAGCAGAGAAATGGTGAGGTGCACTGAGAAATAGAGAAGGACAATAGAGGATTAGGTAGGAGCGAAGTGTTAAGGAATTTACACATGCAAATCAAGCTACGGGAGTTCGAAGTGATACATTGCAACTTCATAGGCAAGTGATTAGCGAAATAAAAGTGCACACATCAGAAGAACCCCACGAACAATATTCATTTTAGTAGTGAACCCAGCGAACACACTTTAGACTGTATTTCCACGTGCACTTGTCTTGACATTGAATCATCATTCTCTGAAGTCGAAGCATTGCCATCATCACTGGTCTCTGTGGTGTAAGAGGAGGTGGTGCTCTCCGCATTGTCAACAGGACTCCACGGACAATCAGCCTCCAGATCGCTGTTCTCATAATCAGTAATGAGGTCTGCCTCATCGGGACTCTCTGAAGCACACTGTTCATATTTGAATTCTTCAAACTGCTCTTGGAGTTGCTCTTCTTCGCTGCGGTAGTTTCCATCATCGTTAATCTCGCCTCGATCTATGATCGCTTGCATTTCGTCCGCCTTTTGTGCACACCGCTGACACTTGTTCTCACGTTCCTCCAAGTTTTCAAGCAGATGTTTGACTTTCCGATCAGTGTCTGGCACTCCTCGTTTAGGATAGTTTGCCAGCTTAGCTTGTCCATGAGCAATGTACTGTTCGTGGTCTTGTTGTTCTTTCTGTGCTTCGCCGCGTATGGAGTAGGTGTTACATACTTCAATGAGTATGGGCAGAACCAAAGATCAACCAATATAGGATGAGCATTTATGCAGCGGAAGTCTGATAACGAACTGACTCACATAGACTGACTCACATAGACTGACCTACATGGCATCACTCCACACACATACAATCATGAGATGGTGGGGTCTGGGTCATGCATAGACGATACCCAGATCCCGTACAC